AAAGCTTTATAAATTTTGTTTCAGATATTGTTGAGTTGGTTTTGGTTTGTAATAGTATCAATTTGAGAAACTAATTGTTAAAAACTTTGAGTTGTTTGGTTGAATAGTTTTCGAGTATTTCTTTAGAGAAATTTTTCTATAAATAGCATTTCTTCTTTTGTTTTCTTAGAAGGCTTTAGTTGTTAATGATTATAGAAATTTCAATTGTTATAGTATTATAATCAGAGTCATATATATTATCAGAGATAATATCAGTATAATCAATAATAGAGGTAGATAGATTTGTTCAAATCTGGTCAATTCAACTTGAAAATTGAGAATAATTAAAGATAAAGTTTTTGGTTTTAAGAAAGAAGTATTAATAGATATCTTTGTATTAATGCTTATTAAGTATTTAATAAGTTGAAGTTCTGGTATAGAGGTTTTTTTAGGTAGATTTTGATCTAATTATATATTAGAGACTCCATTAAAATCTCTCATATTATGATTTTATAAGTTTGATGTTGTAGTAGTGAGATAAGATATTCTTGTATTTCTTTTTGAAATTGTTTTTTTTCTGTATAGAAATATATACTTGCAGAAGTCTAATTGGTAAATTTTTGAAATGAAAATCAAAACCAATAATATGGCCTTTATAGTTATATGTATAAGCAATATATTTAGAGATTTTTTGATGTATAAAGATCCCTATATCTGCTTGATATATATGAGTATAGGCACTTTAGAAACTTTAGTAGTTTTTAATTCGATTGTTGAGTATTTTTTCTTCTTTTATAGATAAATGTATTTCAGAAAAATCTACGATATTATATATATTATTATTAAGAGCTTCAGTTATTGTGAGTTTTTTGTTAGGTTGAAGAAAACTATTTATATTAATAGAAGCAATTTTAATAGAAAATAATGTATATTCAATTTCAATAGTAGGATTATTGAGGTAAGATGTATTGTTGGAGATAGATCTAATTAGTAAATGATAATATTTTAGTAGATTGTTAGTTTGCAGTTGAATATAATTTGGAAGTAATAGGTCATTATTGTTAGTATAAATATGTGTTTTATTATAGGTAGTATTAATTAAAATTTTGAAAGTTTAGGTAAAGTTGTTGTAATAAAGATATTAGATAAAAGAATCTAAAGTTTGTAGTTTTAGAAGTATAGATATATTGTGATAATTTAGAAATTTATTATAACATATATTTGTTATTTTCTCAATAGAAGTTAAAGTAGTGGTAATTGAGAAAATTTGGATGTCTTCTGTAAAGTTACTCACTGTATACTCAGTTTTTACAGTTGCAGAGGATTTTATAGCTTGCTCTGTATATTGAGTCTAGCTATCATAAGCTTGATTCTTTATGTAAATAGACTTTTCTACCTATTTACTTACTATATTCTCTTCTAAAAATAGCTTACAAAAAGTGGAGGATATTATTATTTTAGAAGTAGTAGTTGTATCCATATAATTTACAGAAGACAAATTTAGAAATTTTGAGTAGTAATTTCTGCATATGAAAGTTTGGAGCTATTAGATGTTGATTCAATAGTTGCCTCAGTTAGATTATCTTCTTGTTGTAAGGAAGAAGAATCTTGAGTTGTATGTGAATTAAAAAGAAAAGATTGTTGGATAAATTTTGGCTGTTTAAAATTAATTTTAAATTTGTCATAGATTATTTGTTGAGCTTAAGGATAAAAGGTTGTTTTATATTTAGAACAAATTTAAGATAAGCTAATAGAGTTTTGATGTAAAATATAGTAAAATATAAAGATGCGTGCTAGATAGTATATATAAATAGGGTTTTGAGTAACTTTAATAATTGCATTATATTGGCTTAGTTCAAAGATACTCTTATTTCTGCTAGTAGCTAAGAGAAAAGCTTTAAAGTAAGTATAAAAGTAGTATGTTCATCATTTGATATTAGTTGTAAAGTTATTAACAGACATAAATTCTTTTTAGCTCTATCTGCTAGTTCATTAAAAAGTAGAATTAGAGTTGGAATTTTGAAGCTAGATTCATATTTTTGGTTTTTATCAAATATTTTGTAGTTAAGAGTAGAATGAATAATTCTTGGTTTAGTATCATTACTATTAATATTTATTTTAGAAATAACAGAAAAGCGAATATAAGAGTTTTTGAAAATAGTTTTTGAAATAGTAAAAAAGTTATATTTTTAATCAGCAAAAATTAAAGGACATGTTTGGGTAGTATCAAATTTGCAAGTATAAAGATAGAAAAGAGTTGCTTTAGTTAATTGTTTAAAGCGATTTTGAAGTAAAGTAGGGGTTAAGTATTCAAAAGAATCAGAAAGAAGTTTTTTTTGATAAGAAGATAATTGAAGATAAATTTGGTGTTTAATATAATTCATTGTTTTGGATTTGTCAATAAGAATAAATTGTCAACTGTAAGTTTCAAAGAAGGAATTATACTATTTTGCAAAAGTATAGTTACATTCTTTTAATAAAGTTATTTTATATAAATTTAAGAAATCTTGTTTAGGAATATTTAAGTCAATATAAATATTAAATTTATGATCACTTTTGATAGTAAATAAAGGTTTGTCAAGTTGGTCTTTATAAAAAGTATAATAGAGTTGAAATCGAATAGGTTTGATATTTAAATCTTTAGTAAATTAAGCATAGTTAATTGTTTGATATGAATAGTTAAGGTATAAGTGAAGTCTTGTAAAATTTAATGCTATACGAATACGATTTGGAATTATATATAGTAGAAATTGGTATAGGAGCAAAAGATTTGTTTGTAATTAAGTTTAGTGAATAAGACTTCTATAAAAGACTCAAGAAATGAAATGAAAGTAGAGTAAAGAGTGTTGAATAGAATTTCAATATTACAGCTAATTTCAGAATTAACTTATAAATAAAATTTATTAGAAATTCAAGATATTGTCAAGCTAAAGAGCAAAGAAGATATTTAAATAAGTATTTAAATTCTTAGTCCAAATTTTCAGAATTAGTTGTAGCTTGTTAGTTGTTTTTTTGTTGACCTGGTTTGAAATTTTTAAGATAAAGTTGGATAAATTTAAAAATTTTGAAAGCTAGAGGAGTATTTAATTTTAAATATAGTTTTATTTCTTCAGTAATAGAATAGTTTGAAAACCAGTTAAGATCTTTAGATATATTATGTATGAATTGAGATTTGTTGATAAAAAAAGATATTTTAATTTGTTTGAGAAAGTTACATTTGTCCTATTTAGATTTATAAATGAATTTGATAGCACTAACAAAAAATTTTTAATAAGAATTAAGAGGTTTAGTTTTAGAAAAAGAAATTGGTATTTTTGTAAAGCAGAATTTGTGAATTAATCTTTCTTTAATAATAAAAGCAGTAGAATCATAGATATGTTTTTTATCAGAGAAAATAGTACAAGTGATATTTTGTAAGTAGCAGATTGCACAAATATATGAATAGTGAGAATGAGTAGCAATAGAAGTTGTAGTTAAGTTAATTTTTTCAGCTAAAATAAATATTGCAAATAGAAAAAGGATAGTAGGAGTAGACTAAGAAGTAAGTTTAATTAGAGATAGAAGTAAGAGTTCATCTCTATTGAATATTTTAGTGCTAAGATTAGTAATTGAAACTGAGTTTGTAGCAGGAGTTGGAGTAGATAGTCTAGATGAATTATTAGATCAAAATCTTTAAGAGGTAAAGGTCATGTGATATTTTTTGTATAAACAAGTTGCTACTTGTAGTTGTTTAGGTATATGTATATAGTATCAGTTTTGTTTTGCAGATTCATATTATTGAAAGTCAAAGCAAGCAATAAGTACTCATACTTTACTAGTATCTGCTTCAATAAAACTAATACCAAAGTGATCAGAGTAGTAAGAAAGGAAGTAGTCAATATTATATGAATCTGGAATAGAATTGACTAGAATAGGCATATTAGTAAAATATAATAATAATAAAAAATTTGAAGAAAATAAAAAATAAGAAAAAACAGAGATTTGATAAAAAAAGGATATAACAAATAAGAGATATGATAAATAAGAGATATGATAAATAATAGGTGTGATGAATAAGAATATAATGAGTAATATATGACTAATAAGAGGTGATGAATAAGTGAGTAATAGTAATGCATTACAACAAAGTTGATGAACATATAACAAGGTTTTGTACTAAAAATAAAATTAGAAATTAGTTATTTTTATAAAATTAATAATTTTAGTATAATATTAATTTGTAAGCCTGTTGTAACCTGTTTGAAATGTGTTGGGGTTAACTAGATCAAAAGGAATTCCCTAAAAATTTGCAAAAAAAAGAACAAAGTTTTTTTGCAAAATATTTTTAGAGTTTTTTGAATAAAAAATTAAATACTAATCCGTTTTTAATATATTATATATCAAAATGAAGCTGACAGTATGTTGATTCTTTTTGTATTAAGTAAGAAAAGCTAAAAACTTAATAAAATTTTGAGATATTGCCTATAGAGCATTCTTATACTTTAGTTAAAATATTTTATTAAAAAGCTAGTAACAAAATATAAAACTATACTATTTAGATGTAAAATTATATATAGAACAACTTTACTTAAGTGGCTAGAAGTAGTTTACTTAGTAGAATTTGAGTTATTGCAAGTTTTGTTCAAGAAAATTTGGCACAAGTGATCGTCAGAAAAAGTTAATAATTTCTTATTTTTTTTAATTCTTTTATTAATACTAAGCTGAAGAGTATATGTAGTACAAGAAATATGAAATCTAATTTCAAGTTAATGTATAGCAAACTTTATATTACTACTATTATCAGTTATAAAAGCAACTATTTTAGTTTCAAAATTAAATTCACTAATTAATTTTTTAGTTTCTTCTTTAATTATAGTAGCTGTATAAGGATATAAAACTTCTTTAATAGCTAAAAGAATTTTATATAGAATAAACTAATTTGATATTCAATGTTATATAACTTCTAAATATAGAATATATGTAGAAGAACTCTATAAATCAAATATCATACTAACATAAGTTGCTTCTTTACTAATTTTTTCTTAAATTGCAATAAAACTATTATGATATACTTCATCAATTTTATTTTTTAATACCTTTATACAAGGAAGCTTATATTTAGGATCCAAATCATATGAGTATTTAACAAAATTATTATTCTTAACAATTGTAAGTAGCATACTATTAACTACAAATTTAAGAAGATTAATATGTAATTTTTGTATTTGTCTTTTAGAATATAGCCTTATAACTTCTAAAGTTTGTTCTAATAATAGTTGTATATTTAAAGATAATTTTGTTTTTCTTAATTCTTCAGCTAATTTTCTTTTTAATAAAGCTTTAATTATTTGATATTTATTATGAAGATAAGATTGTATTGTTGATAAAGTATTACAATATTCAAGAATTACTTTGTAATTAGCTATTTAACAATGAACTTTTTTATTAATTAGCTAAGAAAAAAATTGCCAAACAAATAATATCTTTGGTTTAGTTGAAGACTTAGCTTTTTTTTTCTTTTTGCTATTACTAATAACTCAGAAGATAAACTTGAATTTTCTAAACTAATTTCTTGACTATTATTACTAGTATTTTTTATTTCAAATTCTTTTTCATTATCAAACATATAATTACTATTAAAAAAATTATTATTATCAAAGATATAATCAAAAGAATTATCTTTATTTAATTCATTTTAATAACTATCATCTGCAATATTAGTTGATAAACTTGCTGTTTTTCAATTTTATGATGTTTAGCACGAGTTGTAGTAGCTATATTGTAAAAATAATAATAACTTATACTATAAATATATTTTATAAATAGCTTATTATTTAAGTATTGCCAAGAAGTATAAGCTTTAGGTTTACAAGTTTATTTCTTATTAAACTTAATAACTATAAAATTTAATATGTTTTAGTCTTGTAAATTATAATTTTAAAGCCTGAAATCTCTTTTTTTGGTACTGCTCAATAAATTATTTAATTCTTATTAAATAAAAATACAAAATTCTTTATTTTATATTTAGTAGCATATATTTAATTATTTAGGATACTTTAATAAATATTTAAATAATATATTAGCTATGAAATAGCAAGTTATAGCTATTAGCTTAAAGTTTTAAAACAAACAACTTTTATTTTATATTTCATAAGAATCCTACCTCCTCTTATTATATTTTAAAATAAATACAAATTTAATTTATAGTTTAAAATATTATTATAAAATTGATTAAATTTTTTAATTGATTCTAATTTAGAAAATCTATTCTAAAAATCTGTAATTGTTTTAGAATTGATTTTTTAATTATGAAATCTTCTTTTCCTCCATAGAAAACTATTTTTTTATTATACGAATATACTTTAGCTTTTTAATAAAAAATGTAGAAAAAACTTTTTTATATATAATATAAAAAAATTATTAAAATTGGTTTAGTAGATAAAAAGATATTCATATTTTATTTTTTGTAACTATATAAAATTTTTATAAGTGTTGAGGAAAAAAGATTTCATTCATATATAAAAAACATAGTAAATTATACTTTCGTAATTTATAAAATTCTATCCTTCTTATATAGATTAGCAATTAATTTAATTAATATAGAATTAATTCTCATTTCTAGTTCAGATTAGGTTAAATTTGAATTATGTATTAAGCAAAATATATATTTATCACAGATTAGCTAATCAGATTTGATCTGTAGTATAAACAAATATTTAACATTTTTTTCTTCTATATTTTTATTATTGTTTTTTTCTCTTACTTTTTCCTAGTTCTTTATCATTTGTTAGTGTTTTCTTTTAAGCTTTCATAGTATCATTGCTAGTATAAGTATAATTTTAAAATTTTAATATTATTTGTATTATCATTTTCAGTTATTAGTATATAAATTAGTTTCTTTAGTTATTTCTCAATAGTTCTTTTTTCATTTCTTTAATAAGTTCTTTTGTATATCTTCTGTAGAATATTTTATCATATTATATAAGTTCTTTTTTTTGTTGTTTCTTCTGTAGATTTTTTTGTTATTTCTTCTATAGTTTCTTTTGTTAATTCTTTAGTTATATTTTTAGTTGTTCTTATACTTTTGTATTGTTTTTTTATTTTATATTTGATATTGTAATTTTAATTTTTTTTATTAATAAAATTTTTATAAAATAATAATTTATAAGTATTTAATACTGTATTAGTATTAATATAGTTTAGTAGTTGTATTGTAAAAAATTTATATAGTATTTTTAAATATAGTTTGTATTAGTAATATTAATATATAGATATATATATATATACTTTCTATGTACTAGAGTAGTTTTTTTTAAAATTTCAACTTGTAGATTAAAGTGAAGTCTTGCTTCTATCTTTATTTTTGTAAAATATAGTTAAGAGTTTATATGAAACTATCTAGTAATAAATTATATATAAAAATTGAAGTTCAAATGATAATAAAATAACTAAAACTAAAGTAGATACTAAATTTAAAGCTAAATTAGAATTATCTGTGATCTAAACCTACTAGAATGGTCAAAACTCATCTAGATTTAATTAGAAAGAATATAGTTTGTAGAAAAGCCATATTTAATCTAATATATTAGCCAAGTAGAAAGTTTTTGAATAGCAAGTTCAATTGGTAAAGTTTGGTTGTGTTGAAGAGGAGAACTATATAAGTTGTTATTGTTTTAAGATATATAAGAGAGTTGTTAGCTATTTCTATAATTTTTTGAGAATTTGAGTAACATGTTATATTGTTGCTTCTAGTTTGCAAATTCAGAACAATAGGGTAGTCATATTTGTTCATAAATTTTTTGATTAAGTTTGAGAAACAGTTTAATAGTTATCTGTGAAGCTCAGTGAACTGAGTTAGTATATATTTGAATTGTTTGAATAAGTGAATATAGTAGAAGTCTTTTAAGTGAAGTATATAAATTAATTGTATTAAAAGAGTTTGTAGATAGCTAGAGTGATAGATGATGTATGATCAGATTTTTTAGTGTAAGAAATTGTGATTAAGTAATTTCTAAATTTGTATTATTAAGAGTTTTAGTAACAGATTGTAGGATTATTTCCTGTAATATATTAGTATTATAGTTTGTAATCCAGTAGAGTTCCAAGTCTGTTTGGTTACATTTAAAATATTTGTTATTTGATATTGTGTTTGAGTAGTATTTGTATAGATATGATAGTGTTAGTAATTTATTATATAATAATTTAATTTGAAAAGTTTTAAGTTTACTAAG